GATGTTTGATTGGTTGTATTGATTTGCATTTGAGTCATCACCAAGTTTAAACTTGTAAATCACGTAAAGTGCAAAACGGATGAGCAATAAAACTCTGGATTTGTGCACATCTAAAGTAATGACAAACGGGGGTTGGGGTACACGGGGTATTAGCCGTGCACTTTTCTAAAGGTCGTCTATTCTACGAGTCTCTTGCTTTCAAATACTTTTTAAAACTATAAGGAGTTAGATGAGATCTCATACTAGCTATGGCCACGGAGTCGCACCCGTCTTCCATTGGACGTTTGTTGATGTTTCCGAAAGGAGGCATGTGGTTTTTTTCTTTTATTGATTTTTAGAATTGGAGCATGAGGAGACAACCTTGTCTATTGCTTAATCCTATAAAAATAAAAATGACATGAAATAATCTGAGCTAGTTAGAGAGGCCTTAGTAATATTAACAATTGAGTTATGTGTTTGAGTCAATAACCAAATTGTTGTGTATTGATTGATAATTAGTTGCATGCTAGGAATTCTTAATTATTTGTAGCTTGTATATACTCAGGTTGCTGATTGCAAGCTTTTGTGTGTCTTTTTCTTGGTCATGGCCTTCGCCTTTCAATGACCTTGTAATGATCCAATCTCTACACTAGTAATAATGGGGAGCAGACTTATCACAGGTGTTTACATAGTTTTGACTTGCATCAAGGTGGTGGGATTTTGAGTGGAGAGTTAGTTATTGTTCGCAGTTTATTTCATTTCATAAGTTTGAAGTTATTTAAACTCTGGTTTAATTTATTTACAACTTTTGTTGGGTTTTGAATAAGGGCCTTAATGGCTCCAATTTGTAAGATTTGATTTGGTTTTGTTCATTGGTTTTGAAACTTATTTAAAACTGATTTAGTTTTTCCGCTGCTAAATTCTGAATTAGCCTTAACGTTTGAACACGTGGCGGTAGCACGTCAGTAATTCTCTTGAATTTTATTAAAGGTATTTACAGGTTTAAAGAGAGAATTATTGGGGTGTTACATCATGAATTAAGTTACCTTAGCCAGCAAGGTAGTGATGCGTTCGAGGTTGACTGAGTGAACTCCTGGGATGGCCTCCTTCTCAGACCGGGTGATTGTCCTCAACATCCGCTTGGAGTACTATTGGAGATCCGGCCATATGGAGGAGAGATCTACAGCATAAGGAAGATTTTGTGAGAATGCAGCATAAGCGGCTCCAATAGATTGCCGGCTGCCTGAAGAATCTTTCGACTGCTGATGAGACTGAAACTTGACCTGCATGGGCTAAGGAAGGAGAAGTGAGGCAGTCGTACCTTGGGACACAGGCTGAAGGCCTTGATCTCCTACAGCCGTTGCAGAACCAGATATAGCACCGAGTGGCACGCCAATCTTTAGCGACGTTGAGGCGCTCGACTCATTGTGGACCAGGTCTATCCCAAAGCCAAAGCTCTTCAGGCTTTTCCCGACTGAGGTTGGACGGTCCTTGCCAAGTGAAAGAGAGAGGACTGCCTGAGAAGACACCTTCCTAGCCTTGGAGGAGCCCTTGGCTTTGTCCTCCGGCTTCCGCTTGATCATCTTTTGCACTGATCTGGAAGTCCCTTGCTTCCATCCTGAAAGATGAAACACATTATATTCAGTCGGCACTTGCCGTCTCCCAAAAAAAAAAGAAAAAAAGATGAACTTACTCGGCCCTTCTTAGTAGCCGCAATCTGGGCTTTCTTTTTCTCCAGGTTGTCCTTTCAAATTTGAGCTGCAGACCTGCCTGGCAGCTTGTCGGCTGAAAGCATGTTCTTGGTCGTTTCTGCAAAAACCACCGTCTATTAGACAACTCGACAAAGCAAGAAATTAAAAACATAAGCAACAGACACGGCATAAAAATGCCGGATGGTTATCCTACGTACATTTATCGAACATGGTACTAAGACCACAAGCAGACAAGAAGGCCTCGTCTTTTAACCATTCATGGTGGGATACCCAATTCTTGGGTACAATTATTTCTTTGCCGTCTGACAAGGGCATGGTGGTGACCCCAAAAAAATCTGCTCCAATATTTGGTACCAACCTTCGTCTAGGACACGCGGCAGGGCACACTTCTTGCCCAGAAGATCTGGCTTCTTATTATACCGGCGTAGTTCATTATTCTCGCGCCGGCTGGGGGGGAGACAAGATAAAATATATTTCTCCAGTTGGTCCACTTGGAGCTCTTGTTAAGCGTCATCAAGTATTCCGGATGCGTGGTCAGAGTATACCACGCCCGCTAGCCGCTTAGAGCACGGGTTCAATAATGCATATGAGCAAAGGCCTCCCAACCGAGCATTATGTCCTGCATTTTACAGGCGCCAACATAGCCAAGGATGTTCACCCACGAGTTGGGGGTGAGTTGGCACACACCTAGGTCATACCCCCTCAAGATGGCCTTCACTGTATCATGAAGGGGGAAGCGTAAGCCAGCTAAGAATGCCGCCTTACAGCAGCCGAAATAGCAGTTGGCATTTGGTTGGTCGTCCTCCCAGGCAATTGTGCTCGCCTCAGGCGGCACTCTAATTCCATAAAATTTTCCCCAAGGGGATGCTTGCTTATGAAGGCAGTCAAGTTTGTCTCCATACTTGCTCTATCGATCTCTAGTAGACACGTGAACCCCAAAAGAATCCTTCTGCTTAGGCCAAGAGGACGCCTCATCCTCCTCACTATCAGTAGCCGCCTGCAGCGAGCTACTAGACTCTTCAGAGTTTGGTCCGACCCTGAGCCCAACTCCTCACCACTTCTCTCTTCGGACTCCTCTAATATGGAGTCACTTGGGGTGCTTGGTGCAACAAGGGGATGGTCGTAGTCCTCGTCAGCCGGCACCTCTAACGTGCCGTCTTCCTTATATTCTGGGTTAAGCGCCGTCATTTTAGTCCGAGCTATAGTGTCCCGCACAAACACAGAGACGGTCGGATTCGAGGAAGAGCAAGAAAGGTCCAAACACCTAGAGACAGCACCTCTAGTCCTAAACTCAGCCGTACTACGAGACCGGCTGACTACTGTCCTACGCAGTGCCGTGTGTGTTATAGGTGAAGCCATTTATTCAAAGCAATATGCACAAACGGTAAAAAAAAAAAGGACAAGAAAGAGTAGGGAGAAAGACAGTTACCTCAAAAAGTTTTGTGTAAATTAAGAGTTCATAGACGTAGACCGATTGTATCATACGGAGAAGTCAGAGGGTTATGTCAGACGATGATTATAGTTTCTCTCTCTAAAAATTTTTATTTTATCTCTCTAGACGTTTTCAGAAAAAGTCAAAAATGAGGGGGGGCAAACTTCTATTTATAGAGGGGTAAATTCTGAGTCATCCCTGTAATTTCTCCAGAAGGTGAATAGTTAAAAACTGTTGACCAATACCTAAGTGATAAGTGTCACAGGCGCCACGTGGCACGCCACGTCACCCTTGTGAGGGGCAAATGATTTGGGTAAAAATACCCAGGCCACGTGGCCTAATCAGAAGGTGACACGTGTCACCCAGGAGAGGTCCTAAGGGGATCAATCAGAGGCTGACACGTGGCATCCCCTATCATCAAGGAAATGGCGGCCTTCAAAAGCCCAAATCTTGAGGCACCGTAAAAACGGCACAGCCTAAATACCTAGTTTGATAACCTAGGACAAGGGAACCGATTCCCAATGCCCTATAAATAGGGACATTTACTCCATTTTGAGGACACGTTCATTTATTTTCATTTACAATTCTCTCACAACAGAGAAATCACCTGATCTCGGGATCCAAGAAGATCCACTTTACTTTCCGCATTTTACTCAACTTCGACTCTTACTAACTTAATCGTCGGAGACGGAACTCTGTACAACCAGAGCTTCAGTTTTCTTGCAGGTTTTGGTGAAGAGGATCCAGTCTTGGTGACTTAACTCTCCCGCAGGACACATAAAAACCCCCGAAACAGCTTGTGCCTTAAAGGTTCGAGATTTTGAACAAACTAAGGAGCTCTGTTCGCTAGTCATTATGCTTGATGATAACAATACTAAAGCCATTTATAGAAGGGCTTTATTTGAAATCAAATCAACCAACTTGAATAGGCTCATGAGGACCTTGGCAAAGCAGTCAAGGCTGAGCTTAACAACCAGGATATCTGCTGTGAAATGGAGAAGGTGCAGAGTCTAAGAAGCAAGGCTAGCAAGCTCAATGGCAAGAGGGGCACTGAGGATTCCGACCTGTCACATGCCATCTTCAACAAAAAGGGGAAGATCAACATGTCTACTGCCAGTATAGAATCTAACATGTTGTCTAGTAGTAATGTTCAGAGTGATATTACGGAATTACCTAACATGAACGCTACTAGTGAGATAATGGTAGAGAGCGTTATCCCTATAGTTAATGTTTTTCCCCCTTTGGGAAATGGGATGATGATGCTACCAGACCTCAAAACAACCAAGATTCTAGGCAAGTCAAGGATAAGGGATCGAGGAAAATTCATTTTTTCCTCAACAGATTGAGAAATAATTAGTCCCTTAAGATTCTAGATTTGACTTAATCGATCTAAGTCAAGGAAAAACCTTAAGTTTCTTCATACATTCTGTTGTCTCATAAATGACTGTACGAGTGAAGGAAAAGACCACACATGAGGGGCGTCCTGATTCTCACAAGGCTAAGAACCCCAAAGTTTCTGAAACCTTGTTCATGCCCAATATGATGGTGGGTCCGGAAAAGAAGGGTCGTGTTAAGAAGAGCCAAAAGGAAAAGGCTAAGCGACCTCTGGACACCGCCGTGGTCAGCCATGTTGTTGGGCTTAGGAAGCCAAACACCGCTGTCATTGAGAAGTTAGATGATCATATATCTACAAGCCTAACTTCTAGCATCAATGAGAGTTCAAGTATCGAGGAGGGAGTGAGGTTCCTGCGAGAGATTTAACTACCACTGATATTGTTGAAGTGGAATCCGTAGGTTCTAATGATGAAGACTCCATGATTTTTGAACTTGAACAGGTGCAGTCATGTCCATTCTCTACCTTCACGTTCTCTGCCACGTCGAGGAAGTATGGAAGACCAATCCGGTCAAGGGTAAAGAACAAGAAAAGTAAAAGTATTCTAGGTTTTGTTTTTGTGGGATCAAAAAACGCAAGGGAACAAATTTGGAACATCTTATGGCTAGTACCGGCGATAGATCACCTCAATCCCTTTATTTGCATTATCAAGCAGCTCATAACGATTGTAACCCCAATCCCCACTTTAGTTCTTGTATTAGTTTGGTTAAGAGAGTCAAATACTCGATTTGTAGTCTTGAATCTATTGAGAGTTAGCCTCCTTTTTGGACCGTTGTTAAAAAAAAGAAAAAAAAAAAACGGATCACGTGCCTTAGACATGATTATAAATCTAAAGAACAAAATAAGGAAGAAAATAAAACCAAAAGAAAAATAAAAATAAAAAAACCAAAAGAAAGAAAATAATAACGTTGAGAAATTTTTGAAAATGAATCCCTCTCAACTTCAACCCCTCTTTTCCCTCTTCAAATCAAATCTCTTCTTCCATCTCTCTTTCTCTCTCCTCTCTTCTCAAATGAACCTCAACTCAAACTCCAAACACCAACAACCCTAAACAACCACCGCAACAACCACCTTCAACCGCCGCAACAACCTCCGACAAATCAAATGCAAGAACTCTTCGGATCAGTTCGTCGATCCTTAGTCTTCCGAACTTCAAATTCTGCCTCCCCAACCACCGACACCGACGTCGGTTTCGGTGGTTTTGTCGATAAAATTGGCTCCTCAATCCGTAAATCACGCATCGGATTATTCGCGACTAAGTCCCCAGTTAGAGCACTTCCGTATTCTCCGGCGAAGGAGAATATGCCGCCGTCGATTAAAGATGAAGCTCCGCCTATTCGATGGCGGAAAGGGGAGTTGATTGGTTGCGGCGCTTTTGGGAGGGTTTATATGGGGATGAATATTGATTCTGGTGAATTACTTGCTGTTAAGCAGGTTTGATGATTAGGGTTTATTGTTTTTGAATTTTTGAATTTGAATTTGTGTTGGGTAATTGTGGGTTTTTGATTTTGTGAATTGGGTTTTAATTTGCAGGTTTCAATTGCTTCTGGTGGTGCTTCTAGAGAGAAAACTCAGGTTAGGGAATCAATTCAGGGTTTTGTGATGAATTTGAAATTAGGGATTGGTTTGTCTTGATCTATAAAATTTAGTTGAATTTGAAATGGAATTATTCAATTGAGACTTGGTTGAGTATGCAATTCACAGTTTTTACTGTCTTGGATGGTTAATTGTGTGAATTCGCCGTGTTTTCGGATCACTAATTTTGATTTATTAGTTTGATTCTTATTGTTACCTGCTTTAAAGATACAAGATTATCTACATTCTGCTCCTATAAGTTGATTGTTTGATTTATTTTTGTTTCGAAATGAGAGTAGGCTCACATAAGGGAGCTGGAAGAGGAAGTGAAGCTGCTTAGGAATCTATCACATACAAATATCGTTGTAAGTATTTTATCTTTTCATGTACCAAAATACGATATTGCTGGATTCTGAGCTTAATTTCCATGCTAGAGATATTTGGGGACTGCAAGAGAGGAGGAGGCTTTAAATATCTTATTGGAATTCGTTCCGGGTGGATCCATTTCCTCGCTTCTTGGCAAGTTTGGATCATTTCCGGAATCTGTAAGTTTTTTGCTCTATCTATAGTGTCTTGAATATTCATAATTTCTGCTTCTAAAACATGTTGAGCTCATTATTATGGATCATAATTTCTGGTTTTGTCCTGACCAGGTCATAAGAATGTACACTAAGCAGTTGCTACTGGGATTAGAATATCTGCATAAGAACGGCATTATGCATAGGGATATTAAGGTATTGCTTGATGCATATAGATCATTACTCATCAGCCTTATCTCTCTATTTCTGATCGTTTTCAAAGTATGTGTGGTGTTTTCTCTCACAATCCGTTAATGATGTAGGGTGCAAACATTTTAGTTGACAATAAAGGATGTATTAAACTTGCTGATTTTGGTGCTTCCAAGAAAGTTGTTGAGCTGGTACAAATTTATTCCATTCTTATCTTTGTTTGTCTTTATAAACACGTTACTTTGTAAGTGATTGGCAGCTGATCTCACACTGATTGATTCATTCTGTATGAATATTTTTGCACTAACAGGCTACAATGACCGGGGCGAAGTCAATGAAGGGTACACCACATTGGATGGCACCTGAAGTTATTCTTCAGACTGGACATAACTTGTGAGGATTATATTTAAATCTAATTGAATTTTTCTCACCATCCCCACACCTGAAGTCATCTCCAAGTTCAACTTTCCAATTAGAAGCAATCTTCTTGTTTGATCTCAAAGAATTGCGTCAGTTGGAAAAGATTTTGAACTTGTTTTGAATGGCTTGACTGCCAGAATGGAAAAAAAAGGAAGGCCTTTGGATGGCAGCATGTGGAATCTTGCATGTTATTTAAGAACTCAGTAGTAATATTAAGGTTGATTACAAGATTTGACCTTATATCTTAAAACTCCCTTAAGTGCGCATATACCAGAAATCAGAATAATTTAAGGTGTCTGATAGGGCTGGATTGATGTTTTATATTTTAATGATGGATATCCAAATAATATTTAGTGTACATTTTACAAAATTTAATAGATAACTATACTGATTTGAGATCTCTGGAGCTCATGCTTATAACTGTTCAATACCTCAGTTCTGCTGATATATGGAGTGTCGGTTGTACGATCATTGAAATGGCCACAGGAAAGCCTCCATGGTGCCAGTATCAGGAGGTAACTCTACCTCACATTCACACCACTTTAGATTTCTGGTCATAATGTTTACCAATATGTCAATGTTGTGTTTTTGCACTTTGTTTTCCCTGTTTGACATTATTAGTCTCTGTTTTTAAAGGTGCAAGCTTTGTTCCATATTGGGACCACTAAGTCTCATCCTCCCATCCCCGAACACCTTTCAGCCGATGCAAAGGATTTTTTGATTAAGTGCTTACAAAAGTAAGACTTTCTTGTTGTCTCTTACGTTCTGCTGTTTGATCTATAAACAAGCGACTTGATGTTTCGTTTAAGAACTAGATTTTTCCGTGCACTTTATGTACACTATCTCAACCCCATGATTTATCTTTTTGGTGACAGGGAACCATACTTAAGGGCATCTGCTTCAGAACTTCTACAGGTACTTCTCATACTTTCTGCAGTTCAATTGAGTTCTTTTCAAGTTAAAATGGGGCCATGAAATAGGATGCTTTACTGTCAAATTTCTGGGATCTCCTCTTGCTATTTTCCTCATCACCTTTACATCTTCCTGTCATGTTATTCAGAGAAGCCACCGAAATTTCTGCAGCATATTTTGTCTTAACTATTATAGCTGTACTATAATTGTCGCAATTTTATGCAGCATCCATTTGTCACTGGAGAATATCGGGAATCTCAACCTGGTTTTCGTCGTTCAGTCATGGTTAGTTCAATCTGAATGGCTATTTGGTTTATTTTACTCTCTTTGCTTGCTACTCAAACAAGTTATTGTGGCCCTCCAGGAAAATAGTGGAAACCAAACCGCAACTACACCAATAGATCAGAAGAGCATGTAAGTGCTTTTACATCTTTTTTTCCTCAAACAAACCTTAGCGTTCAAGTTGATTGTGAATTAATATGGACTCTGAAGGATTCATTCAATGCTGCAGCAGAAGTAATGTAATGAGGTCAATAAGCGGAGGTCTAAAAGATATTTGCAATATGGGTAGTGTGAGGTGCTCAACGGTTTACCCTGACAAATTCTCAGGTACAAGTCCTCTATGGGGCACAAACACTAGTGATGATGACATGTGTATAATAGATGATAAAGATGACTTTGCAGTATGCCCATCAGCACAATCAAACCCTACAATGCTTGCAGATGACTTCAGTAAGGTAACACATTTTGTATATTCATACTATGAAATAAAAAGCTTTATGTTCTATAAAATATAATGAGTTTACTGACATATACTTTGAATAAATTAGAGTTTCAATCCTATGTGCGAGCCAAATGATGATTGGCCATGTAAATTTGATGATAGTCCTGAGGTTGGAAGAAGCAACATTGACTTGTTTCCTAGGGAAGACTGTGGAACTGCTGAAGCATCTTGCAATGTAGGAACTGAGTTTACATTCCCTAGTGAAGCTTTAGGTGATGATGATGAAGAAGTTACTGAATCAAAGATTCAGGCATTCCTGAATGAAAAGGTAAAAAATGTTCATTCGTAAAATGTCCATATTCCCTCTATATGCAGGTGCCAGATTTTGGTCATTCTGAACGTCATCTATGACTTTGATGTACTTTTATTAACTTTTTTCTTGAATCACTCAGGCTTTCGATCTCAAGAAACTTCAAGAAGAGTTCTATAATAATACAATAAATGTAGCCTCCCCAAAAGCTTTTAGGGGCATAGACAGTGATGCTGCTAGTAATTTACCTTCCAAAATTAAGTCGCCTGCACCCGTACCCAGTCGACGACTGTCTACTGCAGCTGATGTTTCCAAGAATGTGAGTCCTGCAAGTCACAGCAGACCTGTCCTAGATATGGATGGTCCCAGAGAGCAGCCTTTAAAAGAGCTTCCTGAGATCAGAGAGATACAGAAAGAAGGACATAGTTCGAGGTTTGTGAATGGCATAAGTTTCTTGTTTTTGCTCATTTTTTTTTTTGAATTGTTCTGATAGTAGAGATCTTGTGTTTGCAGTCCAAGCTTTTCTGAAAGACAAAAGATATGGAAGGAAGAACTCGACAAAGAACTTGAGATGGAAAGAGGCAAGTATTTCATTTGCATTTTAAGTTAGTAACTGACACCAGTGACCCAGCATGCAAGCTGAATTGGTTGATTTTCTTGCATTTTAACTCTTAAACATTGACCGGTTTCTTATCTGTCAAATTAACTGCACCCTAGAATCTTAAGTAGACTATTCACCATTAATTCATTTATGTCATTAGTTTGATTTCACACAATGATTACCAAATGAATCTTCTTTTTGAGTTAGAAAGTGAAGGTACCTGTTCAAAATCCAAAATGCTTATTAAGGACAAAGATAATACGAAGTAATAATTACCAAAGATAAAATTACATACTCTGTATTATTTTGGTAATTCATCTAGTGTAAAATTCCAGGGGAAAAAATTGACTTCAAGTTTAATTAAAGGGTAAACCATCACCTAATGCTAGAATTTTTATTCTTGGAGGATTGTTCAACAGGCAATTTGTTTATTTGTGGGGAAAAGCCCCTGTTTTTATATGGAGCATTTTTGAACTTTCAGTTTTACAAGAATTTTTGTTAAAACAAGGTTTTTTTTTTTTTTTTTTTTTTTTTTTTTTTCCCCCCTAGAATTTCAAAGGTTTTAGATTACATTCAAATGTTCAAAATTGTTAAAATTTATACTTAAGAGAGAATGTTTTTTAGATCTTCAAAGGTTGTAGAATACATTCAAATGTTGTTTTCAGATCTCTTCTTTTAATGAAAATGGTTTCCATGGACAAGTAGTGTTGGTGGCTAATGAGTAGGTAATTTTGGGATGCTGCGTGGTATGCGGAATGTGCTGAGGAAGGAGAAAAATGGAATTTGAACATGTTCGCATAAGCTTTTCTTGTACTCTGGGTGCTCCACCCCACTGGGATTTATAGTATGTGACGAAAATGACTAACATAACATGCTCTTTTTTTTCCTTCCGCAAGAACATGTTCATTGAGACTAGACATATATAAATCACGGTGTATGCAGCTTCTTTGGTTGTGGGATTTTACTCATAAGAAAACATGCTCCAACCCACACCATTTCAGAGCAGGGTAGAGGCTAGAGAATATGCTGAGATTAAAACAATACATATGAAGATATTATAGGTCTGGAGACACCATGGTCATTCTCATTTGAAGATACTAGTTGCTAAGCTTGTAGATCCTATTGGGAAGGAAATCATTATACTTTTATTGGAATAAACTATGTTCCAAGAATGATGGCAAAGTCTTCTGTGTTACTATGCACGGCAATAATCTCTTTCCCCAGTATAATCACAAAACATAATGCAAAGCAACCTCTTTACAGCCAAGGTCTGGTACTTTTCTCACCGAAACTGCACAAAGTTGCATGCTATTAATAAACCAGACCTCCTTTCACGCCTGGATTTGTAGGTATTATCCGCCAGAGAAACCTTTAGAAGTCTGCTTCTGGATTTTTACCATTTCAGTTTTCTTCTTAAACTGCACCTCTTTACTTGAATCTCCCAACAAAGCAGTATCTTATGCAATAGCTGATACAAAAAAGAAACTTCAAAATTTCTTGCCTCACTGACTTGCATAAACACAAAAAAAATGCAGTAGTGAGGCAAGAAATTTTTGCGTGAATCAACCCTCCCAATCAAGATATAACCCACGACTATTCTGATGTGTACATACTGTACACCTATCCTAGTATAATAAACCTATATCAAGGCCCTCAATACAGCATCCCAAGAAATATTATGTCTAGTATGTCTATGCTCTTCTTGCACCACATTACACCCTTTTCATGCCAAGCTGCATATTCTTAAATCACTATCACCTTTTACTCTTTTAGATACTCGACACTGTAGAGTGGGTATGAAATCCTTATTTGGCACTTCTTTTGTGGACACCTCATATATAACTACATATTAGGTGAGATAAAATATTGTAGGAAGGGGGAGGAGAAGTTAAGTACTCATAGATGGTCTAGAGATTGGAATTTAAACAAGTATCTAACCAATATGAAACTAATGGAACAAAAGCTTTGAGCAAGTCTGATCTAAAGATTTAAACAAAATGATTAGCTAAATGAGTCACAAATGACTGAAAGAGGAGGAATTTGAAACAAAGAGTCATAAGATTGAGAAAAGTAAAAAAATCCTATTATTATCATCAAATTTGAATTGTATTAACGAAGAGCTTCATTTGTTAAAACATATTTAAACAGGAAGCCACATAGGGGCTGGCATTTTCCTTCTAAAATTTTTCCAATTCTGGAAGGATTAGTTCATTGAAGGAGGGGGGGGGGGGTGGGGAGTTGATTCCTTTTCATATTTTTCTTTCGAAGGCTTGTCTTTATTTCATTGTGTCTATTGAATACTTGAATTTCCCATGCTTAGGAGTTTTACCAAACTAGTGGGCCTCCAAAACTATACTTTTGTGTATATGATTCTGCTGGATGATTAGTAAGTGAGATCTTTCTGCATCTCTGCTGCAAAAAAGGGTCTTAGTCAATCATCTGAGATCTTCTCAACTCAATTATCCCTTGTGTTTATGGTCCTGATCATATAAAGCTCCATTGCAGAGAGACTAGCAGAAAGATTGCGGCAGGCAGGGGGGAAGACCTCATCTCCAAACAAGCGGGTTCCTAGTCAACAGAGGGAACGATTACCTTTTGCATCCCCGCCTAAATGAGTACATGTTTTTTAATGTCTCTGGCAATGATGCTTTGAGGAAGACGTGCTTGCCAGGAAAGCACGAATGTATCTAGCAGTATTTTTGGTAAAGAAAGTTGTGTGTTAAATAATACTCCATATAGCGACCACCTAGCAGTCTTTCCATGAATAGCAGGTCTGCCAGTTGATCAATTGTATCAGTCTTCTGGAGGGTGTGAAGAGACTGACAAATCACATCTTCATTCAGTGTTTTGTAATTTCTTACTTCTGCTTAAGCGCGATTTGTATGTTTTATGCTGAATACTAGGATGTGATATTGAGTTTTTCTTTGGCGACGATGAAGATTTTATAGCAATGTATAAAGGCATTGATAACGGTTGAATGTATAGTGGCTCCAGAAGTTGCTTGTTTGCTTAAATCACTAAGCTTAAATTCCACTTTTTCACCTATGCGTCAGGATTTCATTATTTTAGAGTTATTGGCGTTTTGACACTTCAAGTTTTGTCGAACATACTCTTGATAACTCTTCAAGACCCTGACTCTAACATGTATTGCAAAACTCTTCATGATATATTTAATTTTAGTTCCTGAATATATTGATTATCAGTTAAACGATCCTTTTAAACTGAATATGTTGCGCTTGATTTGCTTTTTTTCCCTCAGGCCTGTAGGGTTGAGCCGTTGAGTTGTGCTTCTTTGTGATTGTTTTGAAACAGATGGGCTAACTATGAATGTGATCCATCCAAAATTAAAAAAAAAATAAAATAAATTAATTTAAATTTTGACTGAGGTTAAGTTGGGTTGTGTTTCTCTTGTTGTATGAATCTATCTATATTTTGGTTGGATTGACAAACTACTCTTAAAACACAAATCTATCTATATTGGGTTCTGTTCTTTTTATTTTGTTTTTCTGTTCTTTAGTTTTGGGTCGGTTTGTCGTAGTAGTGTCTTTGTTTGTTTTTGGTTTTACTGTGTTTGTTTCGCTTTTAGTTTTCTTCTAGTTTGTACTTCTTTTGGGGCTTGCCCCTCGGGATCACCAAAAAAAAAAAAAAAAATCTATACTTTGGATAAAAAGATTTGTTGGAAAAATTAAAAATGACATTAAGGAACATTAATGACATTAGGAGATTTGTTAACATTTTCTTAGTTCCTTAAGTTGCCATTTGCTCTTGGTCCATCATCAAGTTGTCACTAGATTTTAGTCCTGTCTAGCTAGTGTTTTTTTGCCTGAAAGTCAAAACATCACCTCTTGCATTTTTCGATCATTAATCTTAGTTTCTCTTGGAGTGAAAATATGCCATATTCATTGATCATTGTCTAGGATTCAAACACAATGACACCAGTGTACGAGCGTTTTGTCATTTCGATGCATTTCATTGAGTTTGCAATATAGTAATGGTCTGAGATAAGAATTAGGGTGTTTCAGAGTGTTGCTTTTGGTTAGAACACTATAAGAAAAGTCGAGTAAGACCAATTAAAATTAAGGCAAGTAATTTACTATGTTACTAGTAGTCATCATTCCCAATTGATGAAATGCTTGAAGAATGTCGAGCTTAATTTGACAACATCACTTATATAGTATGCAATTTGCTCGTGAATAGAAGTAAAATCAAATTAGTTGTAAGTGGTCATTGAAATATAAAGTTAACTTTTTTTACTTTTTAGGAACAATCATCCGTGGATAATTTCTTAGAAATGTAAATTAACTCCTAAGTATAAAAGTAACAATTAATTTTTTTCTTTTTTTTTAATGAAATTGTTTTCAATATTCTTATTAGTTGGTTAAGTCACACATTAAACTCATTAGTCATACCATTGCTTGATTAATTTTTTTTCACCTTACTATATGAAAAAATGTTACTCGTTAGGACATTTCCAAGTTTTAGTAGCAACTAGTTTAGTTTTCGTGCCATGCACGATTATAAAGAAACACATTGTGAGATTTGTTTATAATACGGAGAAAGAAAGTTTTCTACTCCATAAATTTTTTGTATACATGGTAAGTAATTTCTACCGTAGCATATAACTTGTAATATATACAAAAAAAAATAAACACTTTTGAACATTTGACATATTAACATCCCTGTAAAAAAAAAACTTGGTAGGGCCAAAGGATAAAGCATATGAAAGATTTATTAAAAAAAAAAAAAAAAATAAAAATAAAAAAAATTAAAAAACCTAATGAAACCATCATAAAAATTGGCGGAAAAGTTTTTTTTATCAGAGTGACATGTGTACAATTGGAGAAGGAATGATATCAGCAACGTTTTATTTTAGTATTAATTAATAGATTTCACGTGTTATGTGATCATAGACTAATAAACATTATGTAATGGAAATGGCTTGAAAAGGTTATTTGTTCCTGAAAAGTTGTCCACAATCACGCATTGTTTGACTAATAGATTAATAGTTTGTTGAAAGTTAGTCTACCAATGGATTTATGCATTGTTCGTTGAACGAGTGAACGACTTATTTAAGGAGGAGCGGCATTCCTTAAAATCTAGTGCTCTTGGTTGGTAACATAGTCCAATAATCCGATACATAAATCTGTTAATTGAACTATCTGCCTCGTTTAATGATGTTCTTAAGATTGTAAGAACGTGCTCAAAGCTCAAAAAACATCACATGTCACGAAATTAAAAGGAATTTATGTTTACGGGGGAGTATTGAAATATAGTCTTTCTAAGCAATATATATAATTAAGTGTTTTTCACTGATAAAACATAAGAGATTTAAACACTTTATAAGGCTAAAAGTTTAACTTTATATTGCCATATGGACTTTTTCTACACTAAGACTACCTACCAATTAAAATAAAAGATACACGGAAAAAGGATATGTAAGTATGGTTTGGAATTTGTCCAACTTAGAGCTATTGACACAAGAGGTATATGACATTAGTCCCTTGTTACGAACTTAGTAATCTAGATATCGACACACCAGAATATCCCTAATCTTTGATTTTCTTTTAGAATATTACAAAATAAAAATATCTCATAGTTCAACGTTGTCAATAATAAGTGGGATTAAAAATCATTCATGGAATGCAAAAAAATCTTAACTTAGAAGTCATAACTTAAGAAAATATAATCTTGTTATAATCATATTTCACACGAGAGACATTTTCTATAAGGCTTCCATGATGAATGCAAAAAAGGTAAATAATTATGAAAGACAAGCTTTTAAAAGGGCTTTTTGAAAAGAAAGATACTAGTAGCTAGGGTCCTCCCTCTTGTTGCATATTGTTGAATTGAATAGAGAGAGATATACGGAAAACCGAAGAGTACTTATCCATTGTCTTGACAACGATTTTATGCCAAAAAGTTTGGATTTGCATATTCTCAATGGATTTCACTTTTTACTAGCTAGGTCTTTGTGTCTCCCATCAATTGGCCCAATTTTATTGTTTTCCCTTTTCTTATTTCCTTTTGAATTTAACCCATTGTTACTTGAAAGATAGAATGTTTCATTTCAAATTTTTTGGTAACGCAATTAGTGGCGGACCTAGTATATATGTAATATTGATTTTAAGTTAAATACTTATACCATGTTCCTTGCCATAATCAAAGGGCCAAGTTAATTATATCCATAGAATTATATCAAGCCGGATATATGGGCTATGGTGTATTTTGCCTAATGTTAAATGACTTAAGTCCATGTGCATTAGGATTGATGGCACAAACAACGGCACAATACATTATCTATGTATTATGTCTTGTTGCAAATTCAACAGATGGCGAAAACACAATTCGAGCTCAAGTTCTCATTGCGACATGCTTACATGTCTAGTGTCAAATATGCTCTGTACCATAGATCATTTTGCTAGATCGTGGTGTTTCTTTGCAGGCTAGCCTAACCAGGTGTTATCTTTACTCGTCATGTGAGTTTAGTAATATCTCCGTCTACAGCTTTGTGTCGCTCCTCTTCTACCTTTTGCTTTGTTTTTGGACTATATGACTTTTTTTAAAAAAAAAAAAAATTGACTAGGAGACAATAGTCACTATACCAATTTGGGTTTTTTTTTTTTAGACATTTAATAAAGGGGAGCAAAGAGAAGAAGCCTTCTTTATAAGGGTGTGGTGACCATGATCCATTTTGAAGATTATGAGATCTTCAAGCATAAGGTTTTTGATTTTGATCGTTCATTAACAACACGCTTCTTCAAAAATTGAAGGCCATTGTTCATTAGAAGTGGTCCCTATAAATCTATACAATAGACTTATGTTATCTATTCCGTATCTACATACAACTTGCATATCTAGTAACTGAATTCCAAAAAAAAAATTGTGAATTCAGATTGTTGTGCTTTTATGATGTGATAAAAATCTAATTGGCAACATGATGTTTACACACAAATACACAATGTAGAGAATATGCAAGTTCAGAATTGCATTGCACCAATTGCCATTGTTTTTGAGGATCAATGGTAATTTGATGCATTACAGATAATGCATGTATGATTCCCTCCCTAACTTATTGTAGTTACATTACTAGTTACTAGGAAAAGTGTGACACCATGTACATGATGGAAATTAAATGAAATGCATGCATTAATTTTAAAGGTCGGTCATTTAACCCATAAATTATAATACACAACAAGATCTAAAAAATATACACAAATTACATTATTACATAAATTAAATTCGAGGAGAATAGGTTAATTCCTCTATTCAATAATACTTGCATGCAATACTTCCCTCTTTCGGACTTTATTTAATACTTTTAGTATTTTTTTATTAATATATAAAATCTATCATTAACTTCACTTGTGTTGTACTAATATTATCTTTCTTCCACAATTAAAAATGATTTATACCTATTAATTCATTGATTCATTCAATACCATGTAATAATACCAACAAACCCTTCTTATAACTACATGTAAATACAGGTTTTGTATGTACTTAAAAACAGAGAAAATTGTTATTAAGTTTAGGTAATTAAAATTTCAAAGAAGTATAATACTAACATTGATTTTGACCATGAAAAACTTTCGATGGTTTTGTGGTTTCTTAAGTTGGAGACATGAAATATATATCGTGCTATGGTTACTTCAAATATGTAATAATAATGCATGTCGTAGTATGTAGATTAGACGATATATATCCATTTCAAACAAGCTTATTAAAGCTACCTTCAATTCATCCTAAAAGTATTGCAAGTAACAAAGAAAGCTTGCATGACTAGGAGACAAAACACCCCTCAATAACAAACTTTCACAAATGGAGACACCACCACTATTAACCAACATAAAGTAAACCTCAATAAAGTTGAGAATAATGTAAATGCTAAATACTAAGGATTACATAAATAACAAAATAGGTTTACCACTAGCAAAGGCACAAAATAGGAAATGTTTTATTCCAAGAATGCTTTTTGGCATTCCCCCGTTTGGCCGTTATGAGTAACACTACTATAAATTGGACTATCAG